TCTTTTGCATTCAAACCTGAGTATTTAGACAAAAATTTAGGATTAAATTTCCTCAGATGTAAGCCCATAAATAACATATATGCCATACCTATTATTAGCACTTAGCTCTATACTTTATTCCAGAAAAAAAAAAAAAAAACTATCAGAGGAAAAAAAATGCCAATGTATAAAAACTTGGCATTTTTCAATGTGAAGCTAGTTTGGTGACAAAGCAACACTACCACCATCCAACAAAGGTCTAATTTTTATAAGTGGCAGAAAAAAAAGACAGTGTCACAACAAAAAGTTTGTATGCATGCCTAAAAATAGCTTGCTGTTTAGATATCATAACTCACATTCATTGGAAACACCTCAAAGTGAAAAATAACAAGCACTCTCCAGTACAACAAAAGTGCATATGCTCAAGTATCAGTTACAAACTTACCTCCTCTAACTTAATACAAATAGAAACTTTGATTTTTGGATATTTGGTAAATGTAAAGTATTAAAATAATTAAAATTTTAATCTTAGTTATTCTGATAGAATCCAATAAAAAATCTGAAAGCCAATCAGGCATATGTGTGTATCTAATCCATTTCCAAAACTACACTTTCTTCTTTTCAGTCTCTTTACCAAGAGTTTAGAGATATTAATTTAATCCCATACTCCATCATTGTATTGCCAACATTTCCCCCATTATTCTTTTCAGGGCTGAGGACCCAACTCAGATCTTTATATATACCAATTAAGTGCTTTTCCACCAAAGGAGTTAGAACACAGACTTTTTTTTTTTAAACAACATCCATACCTTTATCTTCTTAGAATTTCTGTGGAAAATACTTATCCCTAATGTTTAATAAGAAACATGTAATAGCTCAGTCTCCTCAGCTCCAAATTTAACAACTTACCCAGTACCTAAGACATACCGTACATTGTGCCAAGTCTAGGAATAGAAGGATGCAGTTTACCAAAACGTAAAAAATAAAAAAAAAAAATCCCCAAGCCATTTTACAGAACTCATGAAATATATAGTATATATAGAAATCACAACTTATCTTAAAAATTAGTAAAGAAAATGTTTAATAGTGTATAAACCATAAATTGGCAATAATACTTCTACTTGGTCAGCATATTGTTTACCCTCTACACAGGGTATCTACAGAATGGTATGGGAGAAATGAGAGAGTTCTAAAATGAAATTGAGTTATAACTTCTTTTAGGTTTTTCTTCTCAGCATATTCATCAACCTGTAATCAAGGGCTACTTAGTTAAGTAAATTAATATCTAAACTTAACAACCAAAATGTAGAGGAGGAATTGCATGGATGCTCCACGTGAGAAGTGAGCACATGACACATGAACCATTTGGGAGTATTGATGCTACTCTGTTAAACACTAGATAAGTATTTATTCCTAGTAAATGTCATTAAAGCAAAAGAATTGGTATAAAGAAGATACAAACATAATGTAGGTACAAGTGACAACAAAAATCAATGCAAACATCTTACTAACAATGCACATTATTTAGTTACATCATAAAGTAAAACCATGACAATTTAATGTGACATGACAAAGCAACCAAAAGAAAATTCAAATATATCAGAAGACAGATTTGCATTCACTCATTTAACTAATTCACATAAACTCAAAGTAGCTATTGTGATGCGGTAATCATGATCAGCAAGACAATGAAAACCAAACACTTCATACAAAAAAGGTCTAAAAATAATGTTTGAGTGAGATTGTTTAAGTTCCTAACAATGTACCCCAACTTCCATTTGCATCTAGATGGTTGCATTTTAGCTCTCACAGTTATCAAATATCAACATATACTGACTCTGAGTAAAATTTCTTGAATCACTAAATCAGACGGTATAGAACTAAGATTAAAAAGCAACTGAAACACATTCAATTATATTTTCAAAAGAATTTAGTGAGAAGTCCATCTAGTTTTTAAAATGAAATACAATCATATTGTTTCCCAAAAATAGTTTTATCAGTTAAATTTTCCATTTTGAGTATTTTAGAAAGTACTAAAGTGATCACTTTACTAGTACAAGACTACATAATTATTTTTACATAATTATTTTTAACTGATACCCTTTTCCATTCATTTAGGGAAAAAAAAAACAGGAAAAAACTATTATAAAACATAAAGTTGTATAGATATAAATTGATACTATGGGCAGCAATAACTTATTTTGAGTAAGTTTGTAAATTTCACAAATCTGTCACTTGAACTAGACTTTGGCCTCCTGATGTGGAAAAGAGGAAATGAAAATTTTAGGTTGAGTAGAAAAAATATGTATATAATTAATGTCAAAGAATATCATGTGGCAAGAGAATGGTTATAATGAACTAGGCACTGAATAGGTTCTGTTCATATCTAGGCATTGAGTACCAATAAATGGTTGTTAGATTCAAAGCAGAAAAACCAAGTATTTCACACTTCCTGATGATAGAACACATACCACTTACGAAGTAGTCTTTAAAAAGTTAAACACAAATCACTAAGGCTTTTGATCTCACAATCAATTTCAGAAAAACAGAACAATCCAAACTGGGAAATTATAGAAAAAACAATTACACAGTTTCTCCAAGAAATAAATTGCAAAGAGAAAATGAGGGGCATTGCAAAGGAACAAATGAAAAGATATTCCTAGCAATTACAATACATGGGTCATACTGGAATTCTGATTAATCTACAATAAAATATATGAAAAATTTGAACAGGCACTACTTGATATTAGGGGAATACTTTTAGTGTCAAGATTACTAGGGTAAGTTTTAATCATTGTTTTTGAGAATTACTGACATATTTACAAATGCAATAATGGCAAGAAGGATTATTTGAGTAAGAGCTTAAATAAGATTGATGAACTGACAGTAATTGAAGCTAATACATGGTGATTCATTAATTTTGGTAATTTCTAATTCCTCATTTAAAAAAAAAAAACGGAGGCCACAGCTTCTATATTAACTTGTCCCTTCATGTCTTGTCCCTGAGATATTTCTCATAACTGAGATGATAATTATATATTTCTACACAGAAATATTATATGTGTAAGGCAATGAGGCTTCAACTTATTCTCAAGTTTTGAAGATCATTTCTATTTTAACCTTACTATTTTAAAACTCACGTAGTCTGCTTCATCCATACAGCCCAGCCAGAATGAAAAGTGCTTTTACTAAAAGGAAAATGAAATAAAATATATGCTCAAAATGAGATATTAAAAATCAGTACTAAAATTCAAGAAAAAGAGGTTTTCAAATTTTAATGGACACACATCACTACTGAGGTCAAGGTGGATATGTACATGGCTGGATTAAAACAGAACACAAATTAAAGTATGTTTAAAAAAGATGAAAGTTGGTATACTGTGAACATTATTCTCAAATTAAGTACATTGGCATACCAACAAAGGAAATGAATCAAGACAAATTGCATGAATTAAAAAAAAATGTTTGCTTCTTTGAAAATAATTTAGACTTTTTTTGGAAATAACTGACTTTGATATTCACTTAGGATTATTTCCAGGATCTCTGGAACTCAGGAAAAATTTAAATTCCTTGCTATTTCCTATCTATATGTAGTGCATCACCCTGTATACTTTAAGCCATTGCTAGATTACTTATAAATACCTAATGAAATTTAAATGCCATTACTAGTTGCATTTTACATTTAGGAAATAATATCAAGAAAAAAACTGTACATGTTTAGTATAGAAGTAACTGAATGTTATTCATGATGCAAACATGAAATAGGAATTAAAAATTGAAATCAAATTTGATAACGTCAACCTAAACAAGTCTTAGCAAACTTTATTTAAATTTTTCCTTAACCTGAAAATTAGTCCTATTTAGAAATGGAAATGCAGCAGTTCTCATATCTACAATTTTATAATGTAGATTTAATACTGTATTAACTGCTAATTAAAAGTTGAACACGGGCTGGGAAGGTGGCTCAGTGGTAGAGCACTTGCCTTGCATGCATGAGGCCCTGGGTTCGATTCCTCAGCACCACATAAGCAAAAAAGAAAAAAGCCAGAAGTGATGCTGTGGCACAAGTGGTAGGACGCTAGACTTGAGCTGAAGAGCTGAGGGACAGCGCCCAGGCCCAGAGTTCAGGCACCATGACCGGACCCCCCCAAAAAAAATGTTGAACACATGCACATACAAGCTTATATTAAACAAATATGATGAGGACACAGAAGGTTAATATAGAATCGTTTGCTAAAGAAATACAACTCCGGAGAGTATTTTTAGGCTCTAATGGTTTGGTTAAAAATGTAGTAATAAAAACCCTAAAACCCACATATTTTTTTTAAAAAGAGGAAAAAAAAGTTATGTATATAGTATATTTCTAACAAGCAATCAGGAAATATTCAAAAATGTATAGGATTCCTCTACCAGAATTTAAAATTCAATGTGGGTACAAGTTATTCTTTTGCTACATTCTACATTATTTCCCTATATTAATAATACTTTGCTTGTTCATATAATTTCTGTTAGCAGTATTACCAAAATCAAACTAAAATCTGGTGTTTTAAATTTAAGGTAACCACATATGCAAGGGTTACAATTCTCTCAAATTTTACTCTTTAAACATTGTACTTCCTATAATCCCTTAACAAAAAAACATGCAGCCATATTTGCTTTACATAACTATCTTGTACATGGCTATCTACTAATGAAAACCTTACTGTTTAATATTTGATTTATTAAGCACACAACATATTATCAATCAACTACAGAGTCAAGTTTCACTTTTAAAGTTTACCAGCCTACTAAAGTTCCAACTTATTTTTTTAGTGGCAGAAAAAAATAAATTGCACTTATCTTCACTCTATTACTGACCAGTAGGCAACAGTAGAAATCATAAAATAGAGAAATGAAAAAATAATTCAAAGTATATGAAATAAATGTACCTAAATAGTAAAAATAATCTCTTGTCTTTTTAAAGATACTAGTATCTTCATATATACCTAATAATTAGCTATGTACATCATTAGTATTCAAAATTAATTTAACAAAAATGTTTATTTGACTATTCATGTTTACAAACAATGTCCTATGTACAGTATACATATATAAAGCTCTAATAAACAACAGTGCAATACTTCCAAAAATCTTATGTGTTAGTTAAGATTCCTAACCTTGGAAACCCTTCAGTGTACCAAATGATTTGAAATAATACAGAATATATTAAATAATGACTTATAGGTTTCCAGCTTTGCCCTTTCCCAAGCAAAACAAACCACCAAAAACTAAACATACAATGGCCAGAATGTGAAAGGAAGTTGAAATACAATGCTAATTTCTTTCAGAATTATGTTCAGGTTGAGATTTATATAGAATCATAAATGTAACTATTCTGCTTTGATTCATGTAGCACTTCAAAATCTTGTTCTTAGAGATAAAAGTTTTGGTCAAAAAACCCCACTAACTTACATCTTTCATGGAAAGAAATTTTAGACCTATCTTTCTTGTGGCTGATATCAATGCTGATACTTAAGTTAAAATTAAAGTTATTTCAATCACAGTATATTATCAAAAAGTTTTCTACTAATGACTTGGACTAAAATATTAATATCTGTGGTTAGCTATAGTAAAACCAAAAATTTTTTTTAAACAAGGAATCAGTGAGTTTAACTGTATTCCTTAATCTGATGTAACACATTAGGGAAGAATTTCTAATTTTCAAAGAGTGCTGCTAGAGAAAACTATCATTTTTAAGAATAAAACTTTTACTACCTGCAATGTTCTATCAATGTTACAATTTATTTGCCTTCTATAATCTTTTTTTCCCCCGATTCCATAAATCAGGAGGAGTAGCTGAGTCATATATCTAATTTTTCTTTTTCATTAAAAATATTTTTTACAATTATTAAGAAGTTCTACTCCATTGTCCTGGCAAAATACTTATTCTACACAGTCCTTTATGCTAATGAATCACCAATAAACATTCTTTGAGCTTCAAAACAAATGTCATTATTACAATTTTGTAGAATTGCACTGTAGAAGTAATTATCTTACAAAGAAGACTCACATTTGAATACTTAGAAAACATTTCTTTTTCAAAAGTTACATAATTTTGGAAAGATATCCTTAATGAATTATGTAAAAGAAAACAAAAAAACCTTATGGTATGTTTCCAGTTTTAATTGGAAAAACAAAAAAAATTTGAAACACATACATACATTTAGGAGAAAATGGAGAAAAAGGAGATGGGTTGCCAATATTCATCAGCAAGTGCCACCCGAATGATTCTATAATTCGGGTTTTTCTAGTTCAATCCCAACTTTCCAAGTTTATTTTTTCTTGTACATTTACCCGTTTAAACAATATCAATATTAAATAACTCAAATGAGATGGTTTATAGAAGCTATTTATGAAACTGGTAAGCCAACATACTGAAATGCCCTCTCTGCTCTGTACCATATTTTTATTATTGTTCATATATTTAGGAAATCAGGCATTAAAATAAGGTCAATGCATAATGTACAAAAATCCATGTCCATAAGACAATATACAAACTGTCCTCTGGTGATGAAAAAATTATAATAATTATCATGTTTAGAAGGCATGTATTTTATTACTCTTGTAATGTATTTGGGGCAAAATTCCTGACCAGCTAATTATGCTCTTTCACACATCATGTTCACTGAGTTTACTACCATAGTTTTAGTGCAACAAATATCTTTGAAAAGCCACTCTACAGTAATTATGGCAAGGCTCATTAAAATGCGAGGTAAAGATTCCATTTGTATGGAAATTTAAAAAAAATGTTTGAAAAGGAAAAATGTTCCATCAGGTTGAATATTTTTAGTATCTTAAAAATATATATAAACATTTTTTAATTAGTTTTCTCATCAATTTTGATGTGGTATCATTTAGTGGTGATAAATTGAGAGAGGTATATGTATCACAAACATTATACTTGAGATAATAGTCTTAGGTAAACATTTAATACACAATGCCAAGGTAGTTTCCTTTTTTAATTTTTGTACCAAAAAAGTCATACATTTAACATTGACATGTCTTCTTACCTGTGTGCCTCAGACCAATAAAGTACTCTGCATTAAAATTTAAATCTTGAGACAGTAGTACAGCATTGAAAAAAAATTGAAAAGCAGCTCAAATACATTGAACCCAGATTTTACATTTTCATTTGTCAGATCAGAATATAAAAAGTAAGCTCGGAAATCAACTTGAAAAAGATTATTCCTCCTCAAGAAAAAGTATGAGCAATCTGAAAATGATCAACTAGTATGAATGAAACCTTGTACATAGTTAAGTCACATTTAGTGGTTGCTAAACATACCACTCCCTCCTGGAAATTACAGAACCATCTACATGTGAGACTAAGTCATCTTCGTTCTCCTCATAACGTTCATCATTGACGAACTTCATTCCCATTTTTAGATCTTCGTAATAATCCATCGGTCTTTCAAACCTATTGAGATTTTCTACATTGTTCCACTGAGTTTTTTCAGGCTCTTCTAAATAGTCTTTACGTATTAGATTGTTCACTGGATTTTTGTTTTCTTTTTTTACACTGTCTGGGTAAGAATCAAGCTCATCTTGTTGAAGAACATCTATTTGTGATTCTTTCTGCATGTCTGAGGGTGGAATGTAGTTTTTGGCAAAGTAGTCTCCACGAAACGTCCGTCTTCTCCTATAGCAGAATATCCCAGCCAGAACACTCACAAGTACTATGAAGAGAGCCCCACCCACTACACTAGCAATGATTGTGCCAATTGTGTCATCCTTAATTGTTGCCAAAGTTGACAATGGGAAGGGCAATTTTTTAGGTTCTGTTGCCAGATCCTCGATGTCAGAAGTTGAAGGATGCCACTGAACTGTAGGCTGAAGGGTGGTAGTAGTAGGAGGATCTAATGGGAACAGTAAAGATAGACAAGACACAGAAAGCAGAGAATGTCAATGCAGGCTAATTCAGCAGCAAGCTGAAAAGACAGCACAGTTAATGAATATATATTCATAGTAACAATAGTTTTTCATTCTTAATTTGATTAAGATTAGAAGGTATTAATAAAAAATTAACAAAACTGACCATAGTCAGTTACCAATGAAGTCAAAGAATAAAACCTATGATGCAAATCATCATTTTATTCCAAGTTTCAGTGATATTGTATTTGAGAGAATGAGTTATTTACTTTTTTAGGGTAGATTATTGCTATGGTGTTCTATACACAGTCGGCTTAAGAATTATCAGACAAAAATTAAAATTAAATCAAATAATTCAAATGTACATTTTCTTAGCCATTAGCAAAAGAAATAAAATGACAGATGAAAAAAATTAAAGTAAGTTTTCTTAATATGCACCGTTACCTAACATGTAAGATCTGAACTTATCTTTAAAAGAATGAAAAACTATAGAATCTTGTTAAGTGGACATATATATAAGCAGTTGGTTTAATAATTCTCTCAAAAATATTTACCTTTAATAAAAAGTACTCTAAAATTTTATTACACAAATATGAAGTAAAGCCCATTATTTGCTGGTTTTAAAAATTATGCTTAAAATGTGTTAGACAAATGGGCTTCATCAAAGGAGACTAATAGACAAAGATGAAGTAAAAAATGTTGTAATAAAAATCATCACATCTAATATCCCATGGGTAAGATATTGGAACATTTAGAAAATTAAGCATTTTCAACTATATATGAAAATTTAATGTCACTGCTTTAAGATGATGTCTCAGAAAGAGCAGCTAATATTTTAGAGAGAACATTCCAGTAATACTTAAATATTAGATGCAAATGAACCTATGTATTGACATTAGATAACAGAATAGCTATTAATATTAAAAAAGCAACTAAACAAATAGTAAAAATTAAAGCTTGGTTAATTATCAATTAAGTAGTATTTGTAGGTCTGTTATGCAAAACTCTAGAATCTAAAGAAAAGATGAGTTTAAAAATTGTGAATTTTTTTTCATAGGCAAAAATAAATGACCCAAATGGTAATCTCCTATAATTAATTTTTAAATGAGTGGTATTGACAGAGCTTTTAAACAATGATTGTTAGAAAAATACTAAATCTACATGGGGTAAGTTATTCTAATATTACAAGCTAAAGAAAAATACTTACTGAAACAGGTTTCATCACGGAATGCCATATGTATAGAATTTGGTAAAAATTTAGCAAGTACAGTATAAAATGTGGCAAATACAGTAAAACTAATTTCCTATGAGCTTAAACTAATATAGCAGGTAATCTTATAAAGTATGTTAAAGAAAAATTTTAATTATAGTATATGTAAGGGAATATAGGCAGTTTTAATTTATAAGAATATATGCACTTGCTGAACAAATCTAACCTGAAGGAAACAATTGTGAAATTGAAGGATTATTTCTGGTTTGAAAGTGATAAACTACATATAATTCAATTTCACAAACTAACATACTGAAGAAACAGACTAAAACTTCAATCATTAGTGAGGCAATTCATGTGTTTCTTGAAGGGGGAAGGAATAACAAGATAGTCAAGTTTGAAGTACTGAAATGTCATCTTTGCAATTATTCTCCAAAGGAATTATTAAAATAAACTTGCACCAGGACATTTAAAATATTATTACTCATCTAAGTAAATTGTTTATAACTTGTTAATTTTGATAAACATATTAATATGTTTGCTTTACAACTAACCTCTGATCCACTATCCTCTTCTTTAAAAGTAGCATAACTTTCCTACTATCACTCCATATGAATTATTAACACTCACTGTTTTTTTTTGTTTTTTCAGATCCCAGGGCTTGAACTCATGGCCTGGGCTCTGTCGCTAAGTCTCTCTGTGGTCAATAGTGCTCTACCACTTGAACCACAGCCACTTCTGGCTTTATCTGAGTAATTCAGTGAAGAGTCTCATGCACTTTGTTGCCTGGGCTGGCTTCAAACTATAATTCTCAGATTTCAGTGTCCTGAGTAGCTGTGATTGTAGGCATGAACCACCAGTGCCGATTATTTTGTATTTTTAAGCACACTTTTCTATATAACAATGTATATAAGATACCTGCTTTTTTAATAATGGAAATAACAATTTCTGTAAGGATGCAAGACTATTTTATAACTGTTAGTAGTTACTTATCTACAGTGATTTAAAATTCTTCCCAACAATATTTTTAGTCGAATATTTTAAAAAATATTTTAGTTGAAATATGATAAGTGAAAATGTAATAGATATAATGAATTCAGACTAGGATTTTACCAAATAAAAACTTTAGAAGTTTCTTTTCTAACTAATGACTTCTGTCAAACAAGAAAATAAAAGACTGGAGGCATAAAGCAACTATCTAGAAAGCCCTAGGATCCAACGTTCCAACTCCTCACCTCCAGAGAAGGGGAGAGAGAACAGCAAAGGTAATGCTGGACAACACAGTAGACAAGCAAGAAAAGTGAAAGCACTAAGGTTCTGAGTTCAACTTATATACTGGCAAAAGAAAGAAAAAGGAATGGGAGGCAGGGAGGAAAGTAAAAAGCAAAAGATAAAGAAAAATAAGGAGAAACAATTTCAACTAGAAGATTCTATAGTTATAAGGCATATATATATTACTTTAAAAATTAAATGTATTGATTTCCATTTCTTTTACTTTATTTCAATTAAATAGGGAAAATCAAGTTGAAAATTGCTGAGTATTCTTCAGTTTGATGCTATGTCTAGATCATAAAATCAATTATTTGACATAGGAAACTATTATTTTGCATAGGAAAAACTATTTTAAACAAGGGGGTACCTATTTTCTAGGTTGCTGTTTTCTATTTTCAAAGACGTGAAAGTGATCAGGGAAAAACACATACTAAAAGCAAACCTGAAAAAACACAATTTCTAACAGTCAGTATTTGATGATGAACCAATGTAGTCCCTAAAAGTGGCATTATGCTATCACACAATCTAAATACTCATGCTGAGTATTACTTTCATGAACCAGTAGCCTTTTGTCTAAAATTTTATGTTTGCCAATGTGACTCCTGTCAAAAAACTTATTTCTTCTAATATATATATTTAAAATAAAATTTCTGAAAATTTTAAATGTTAATTTAGCAGAGATTAAAAGAAATTCCTAAAGGAAGAAAAAAGGAACAGAATACTTAACTCGGGGTGGGAACGGAAGGAAAAAACAGAGAGAGTGAAGGGCTGACACTGCTCAAAAAGAAATGTTCTCATTTTCTGACTTAGGTAACCATAACCTCTACGGTACATCACTTTTTCAATAACAATAGATTTTTTTAAAGACATTAATGAATGACTGCTTTTATGAATTATGGCCTCTAGTTTTGATAAAAATTTAAATAGTTCCTTTGGAAAGCATCACCTCTAGTGAGTTCAGCATATCCTCAAAAAACTCTTAAAGGAGTTAACTGTCCCAATATAGTATACTATAGGCTCTAGGTAGACAGTTTGAGTTTTAATTAATTGAACAAAACTACCTCTGAAAAAACTATCTTCTGTTCAAGTATTTAGAGAAAATTAAACTGTGATTTTTCATACTTACTCATAATGTGATTTTCCATTTTATTACTCTAAATAAGCATTTAAATAAACCATGTATTATGTTACATAACAAGTATTAAAGAGAAAAAACAATGCAGAAGAAAACAGAAAGTAGTAAAAGAAAGGAATTTACTATTGTCATGAAAAAGAAAAATTTAACAGAAAAACGTGGTATTTGAGCAAAGATCTGAATGAAATCAAAGAAATAACTTGTTAAAAAAACAAAAACAAAAACACCCAGACAGTCAAAACACTGAATCACTTGTGTTCCAAGAAAACAAAAAGCCAGCATGGATCAACAGGTGAGCAAGAAATATATAACGTGAAGTGATATGAAAAAGGGCATGCCAAGAGTCTATAAGTCTCTGTGAAGATTTAGTTTCCCATGAAGAAGATGGGAAATCCATGGAGATTACAATGAGAAGAGTATCATACGATATTCCCTTTAGAAGGATGATTTAGCTGTTTAGTTGATGACAGATTGAAATGAAATAGACTGAAAGTGGGAGATGAAGTGACTCAGGTAATAGTGAAGTAAGAGTGGTTGTTGGCCTAGATCTGCTATAGCAGATTTGGAAAATGAACAATATTGATTTGTTGATGGATTGGGATGGGTATGAAAAAAAATAAAATAAGGAATACTATAAAGGAGCGAAGGTAAGAATGGATTATAAATAGCTAAAGAGAGGAAGCCAAGAAATAGATATGGTGTCAAGGAACAGAAAAAAGATCATGACCTCAGCTTTGAATATGTTTCCCCATAAATGTCTAGTCATCTTCCACATAGTTAATGATTATTAATAGGCAGAGTTCAGGAGTATTGGGATGGAAGTAGACCTGGAATGCCACAAGATATAAATTTAGCCTATCCGCAATGGAATCAGTATATATGAGTGCCCCAATGAAATGCTGACATCTAAAGATTATGTAGCTATCACATATTGATCTTAAAAATATCCCATACTAAGTGCACAATAGGAGCACTACAAAGTAAAGTGGTCTCTGGAAAATAACTAAAGTTTAGATATGCATTTTCTACTGCTTATCCTCTAAGCTGAAGTAGGGAATCTTTTTCTACCAAGGGTCTTTTGGATATTTGTAACATCAGTCATAGGCCATACAAAATTATCGATACAGGAAGACAGCTACAGGCAGTGGATGGGAAGGGTGCATGTTTATCTTTCCAAGTACCAAATGATTTCTCAGTCCTTAAACACCCAAAGGGGTCCAGATTTTACTCATCCATTCTCTAAGGGAAGAAAGAGACTTAAATACCAAAATGTAATCTTCCTTAGATTTTCACCAAAGCACTGCTGCTACTAGAAGCTCTATGCTTTTTGGCTTGAATCATAAAAAGTATTTCCATCTCTACTATATGCCAGGCACCATGCAAACTGCTAAGTATATAGGAGTGAATAAAACACAGATAAACTGCTTCATTTGAGGATAGATAAGTAAACAAATGAGTATACAAGTATAAATTGTGGTGAGCATCAGGAGAAAATAAATAAGGGGGAGGGGTGGATTTATTCTCCAAATGATCAAACAAGGATGTAACATTTAGCAAGCTAAAAATCTCTTTAATTTTTTTCTTAGCCATTACATAATTACCATATAAACCTCCCCCTTCTCCCTACTCTTTTGTGCTGATACTGGGACTTGAAATTAGTGTCTGAGTACCATCTATTAGCTTTTCTGCTCAAGGCTCATGCTCTACAATTTGAGTCAAAGCTTCATTTCTGGCTTTTTGGTGGTTCTTTAGAATAAGAGACTTCTGGGTTTGTGTGCCTGGACTGGCTTCAAACCAGGATCCTCAGATCTTAGCCTCCCGAGTAGCTAGGAATACAGGAATGAGTCACCTCAGCAAGCAAGCTTCTCCTTCACCTTAATTTTCAATATGTTAAATATGAGGACCGCTATATCAATAGATACTAAAAATATTGTTTATTTTTTCTAAGTATCCCATGGATAACTTATAGCTATTCATCAGGAAATTTTTTTTCAGATTTTACATTTTATAAATGCCTAATTTGTATTGACACAAATTCCCAAAACATTATTTACAATAAAGAAAAGAATACACTAAAAACCTGTCTTAACAGTTGAAGAATTGGCAATAAGGAACTTACCAAAGTTTATCTCATTAAAACATTTTCAGTAGTATTCCTGTTTCACCTATCAGTAACCTAAAGTGGAATAGTCTCACTCTGAATGGCAAATAATGCAATGTGTAATAAGCCAAGTTAACAAAGTTAATATCCCATATTACTTTTCAGACAATTGTATTCAGAGTAACTACCAAACAGGAAGAAAAATGTTTCTTTGGTTAAAGATAAAATGAGTTAGAGAGACATATTACCAGTAAAAGAAATGCCCAAAACTTGTTGCATAGACATTTCAACCTTTAAGATCTACTGTATTATATATGTTTTTCAGCCAAGCTTACTTTATCATATTCTTTGTAAATTTTGCAGAAAAAGTTTAAACTGATAAATCTTTATTATATATATAGACTACTGCCTAGGTTCATATTATTTTGTTATTACAGGAATGATTTAAATAACTCATTTTGGAAACATATATAGTGACTTACCAGAAATGTAGATGACCTTTTGATCACTTCTTTGACCAAGGGAGTTGGTTACTTGGCATACATAAACACCAGTATAATTGTAATTCAGTGGGTAGACAAAATGAAGAGTATTGTCTGAAGCCAATAAACCATCAGGCCATTGTCCATCCAACCTAGATTTTAGAAGCACACAAATTAAACAATCTTTATTATTAATTATTATTTAAAATAAGAGAATCACTTTGGAGATTTTAGCAAAATAGCAGTATCTTTGAGATATAATTAACTATGAACTGAAAACACTTTCATTTTATGAAAGTATTAAAATCTACTAGGTAGGGGCTGGGAAGGTGGCTCAGTGGTAGAGTGCTTGCCTTGCATGCATGAAGCCCTGGGTTTGATTCCTCAGCACCACAGAAGCAGAAAAAGCCGGAAATGGCACTGTGGCTCAAGTGGTAGAGTGCTAGCCTTGAGCTGAAGAGCTGAGGGACAGGGCCCAGGCCCAGGCCCAGAGTTCAGTCCCACGACTAACAACAACAAAAAACAACAACAACAACAACAACAAATCTACTAGGTATACCCATTCTTTCCAAATCTTAATTTGTAAGTATAGATAGGCCAACATAATAGAATGGGAGAGAAGTAGAGAAAAATTTTTTATATTCATGGTGGATGCCAGTGGCCCACAGCTGACATTCTAGCACTCAGAGGCTAAGATCTCAGGATCAATGGTTAGAAGCCAGCTCAGAATAAGTAAGTCTATGTAAGAATCTATCTCTAATTAACAACCAAAATGCTGGAAGTAGAACTTCAGCTCAGCCTTGAACAAAACAAGGACAGAGGCTGGGCCTTGAGTTGAAGCCTCAGTAATAGCATCAAAAGATAAATTAATAAATAAAATTATACTTGGGTTACTGGAAATTATAAAAATTACTTGATGACATACAGTATTAAAATTCTCAGTGAATTATGAAGATACAAATGGTTTATATCTTCCATTATCTTAGAGAAGTCACGTAATTTAATAGTTTGGCATCTTTTAAAGAGTATCACTTAATACTAATTTAAATCTATATTATGCCCCATCCAAAGACAGTTTCTAACGTATCAAGAAAAAAATCAAATCTACTGGATGGTAGGGGGAAAACAATGGAGGGAGTAACAATGCTCAATAGGAAGTGTACTCATTACCTTGCTCATGTAACTGTAACCCTCTGTATAGTATCTTTACAATAAAAAAATTTAAAAAACATGTATTCATTAGCTGTAACCCCTCTGTACATCACTTTTACAATAAAAGTTACAATTAAAAAAGGAAAAATCTACTTATAATTTTATTTGTATCTATCACAAAAATCAAAGCACAATTTAATGTAACTTTCTAACAGTGTTTGTGGTAATTTGGCTAAAAGTCTCTCTGTCTAGTATATACACTGATGTAACCCACTGTTAAAACTGTGGTTTAAAGAACAGAGAAATTCAGAGTTTGACATAAACAGGAGACTGGAAATAAGAGATTAGTTGAAGTTACAAAATCAAACAAAAACCAACATACTTCTTCCAACTCTGTTTAGATACTAGATTTTTATTTCTTAGGGAAAAAAAGAAACTGAATTTGTTGTGAAGAAAGATTTCCTATCTTTGTGGGGTGAAATCTAGGACTTCTCTGAAATTAACCACTTGTCTACATGATTATTCCAAGTAGAAAATAATAAACAATTCATACTATCAAGTTTCCAAAAGCATGTTAATGCCTTACTATAAAATGACTATAAAACCAAGAAGAATAAGGAATATTAACAAAATCAAAGACTACAACAAAAAACTAAACTGGAGTAAAAAGAAATAATTGGGAAACAAGAAAGTTAGCTTTTCATTGATGTCATCAAATACCCTAGAGAAAGAATTTTATAGGAAAAAAGAATTTAACTGGGCTCACAATTTCAGAAGTTTCAATCTGTCATGGCAGGCAGGGCATGGTGCAGCAGGACAGTTAGTATTATGAGGCCAGGAAGCAGAGACAGAATAACTGTGTTACCTGGCATTCTCTTTCTTCTTCCTTTTATTCCAGAAGGGTCCCAACCTATGGGATGGTTCCACCTTCATCTAGTAAATCAATCCTCTCTGAAAAGGCCCTCTCAGATAAACCCAGAAGTATCCTCCTCAGGACTTCTCAATCTAACCAAGGTGGCAATCAAGACTAACCATCAAAGGTGGAAATTAGTATCTCTTGGAAGAAATAAGTACATCTACAAAAAATAAATGATGCTACGATAATGGCTAAGAAATGAGAAAATATTATTAGAAAATAAGTTTGCTAATTTTCTAAATCATCAAGTCAATAGAAAATATTCTAAAAAAAATATAGGTGTGTGAAAACCAAGAAATTTATGCAATGCATTTGTGCAATAAACAGAAAAAAGGTAAAACAACAAAATAAAATACAGAAAATTATCAAAGTTGACAGATAAAAGTTTCAAGACTGAAACAGGGTTCAAATACTGACAATATTAATGAAAACTTTAGTGTAACAGTTTGAAAATTTAGAAGTAAAAAAACTAAGGAGACTCAGAAGGGAAGCTACATACTAAAAGGAGGCAATCAGCCACAAGGAAAGCAAATATAGCTGCAGAACTACTTAGCTCTTGGTAAATAATATATTTACCTGCCACAGAGAAGTGAACACTAATTACAGAGCTTAACTAAAAGTAACTTAATCTTATTCTGGCAATGAAGGATAGGAGGTATATAATGACTGTGGGTAAAGAAACAGACATAAAATTAACATTTTTTAAAATAATTAACTCACGAAAAAGTAAACAGTGTTAACAACTGATGAAGAACAAATAGCAGTGTAATAGTATCTGTGATGTTACCTACCAGAAAAAAAATCGTCAAAATCACTAACATAGACACTTCTAAGAAACACAGCTTGAGGAGGTAGGAAGGTCAGAAAGGGTGGTGCAGAGCATTTATGAAACTATTCATTTAAATTCTTTAGCTATTACTATAATCATGCAGTATAGCAATAAAAACAGTCTTAAATAGGCTTTTAAAAATACACTGGTAACTGTTACTTTTAAGTATAACATTACCTGCTCCACACAGATTTGAAGGGTGGTGGATTTGCATCAGCATTACATTTGAGGTTTACACCTTTTCTTCCTACAAACCAATTTCCATCATATCCTGTTACTGAAACTTCAGGAGCATCTACAAAATCAACAAACAGCAGGAAAAAAAAGTCATCTTTTATTAAGGATATAAGTTATATTAAATTTAAGATGATGCTAAGTGAAATTAAGCCCAAGACATGGAAACATAAGGTTTTCTTTTGTTTCTTTTGTTGTTGTTTTTAATGTATTATGTGTTTTCTTCTGTCTTTTGTGCTTTTTTTTTCTTTTTCCTATTGTTTATTCCCTGTTGTCACCGTATTTGATTTTAGTACCCTAGGTATTGTATCAATGTTTATCTGAATTAGGGAAGGGAAGGGGAATGACAAAATGGTGAGACAAAGGACAAATCGTGAACCAATGCAACAGTGATATTCATAAGACAATACATTGGAAATGAACTGTACAACTTGGGGAGGGCATTGGTGGAAGGCAAAGTGGGAGAAAAATGAGGGAGGGGATAACAAGTTCAACAAAAATGTACTCCCTATTTTACATATGTAACTGTAACCCCTTTGTACATCACCTTGACAATAATTTTTTAAGTAATAGTCAAAGCAAGCAGAATAAAGATTTGGCCACATCTAAGCTTTAAAAAAACATGTTAAATTTTTTACTCAACATATTTAATCAACGTGGAAGACAGCACTCAATAAAAGTACAACTACCTCACTAAAGGAATAAACAAATGAATTAATAAACTCATATTATTCCAGTTACTAGGAATACAGAATGTAAGAATAATCATAAACATGTAATTACTAAAAGCAGAACATAAGTCCTATTTTAAAAGATTTGAGACACAGAACAAAACATATAGCTCACAGTTAAATAAGACATGTACTGTAGTACACATTGTGCCAAATAACTATATAAAACTGTCCTAAAAAAGATGTTCTGCAGGGTACCAATGGCTAACACATGCAATCTTAGCCATTAAGGAGACAGAAATCTGGAGAGTTCATGCAGTTAATTTCCACCTGCAAACTACCTAGCAAAAACAGGGTTGGAGGCATGGGTCAGGTGGTAAGAATGCTACGTGAGCAAGTAAGCCAAGTAATCCCAAGGCTTAACAGATTAATAAAAGATGTTCACTCTAAAAGGAAATATTCTGTAAGAAACATGAAGTCAATCAGAGATTCCCTATGTTACAATATTCTACGGGCATTAGAGATATGACACTGAGACTACACACAATTGCAGAAAATTAACTAGGGCTTCAACAATACCAAAACATAAACATTACCAACTCAGCACACCATAGGTCTTTTTTATATATGTACAATATATATAAATAGGCAATTATTCATATCTACCTGCAAAATACAGGTAGTCTATAAACTATAAACTCAAACATCTAACATTTACTCAACCATCATTTTATTATCTCCTTATAATAAGTGCCAGGCAGTTTCAGTTGTTTAAATATTAACTTTGAAAAAAAAGAAAAAAAATTATATTCACGAAACTTACATTCTAATAATAATAAAGAGAATGACATTTAAAAATATTAGCCAAAATCTACTAGGAGGACCAAGGTAGAACAGAATACTAAGCCAGAGCTAAGAGCTAGTGTAGGCCCAGGTGAGGATGGTAGAGATCATGAAAGCTTCCTTAAGTATTTCTTATACGTAGTGCAGAGACCTTCCAATTTTCTGTGAGCTACACAGAAAACCAAGTCACAGCAAAGGGAAGAGAGGACGTTAGGAAGGAACAAGGTCAACTTTTACCGGTGTTAGACCTGTGTCAGAACAATTTAAACTACTAAAAAACATTTTACTAAAAAGTTAGAAAAGATTAAACTTAACAGTTAACTATAAAGCACCTACCTCATAAATACTAAGAATTAACAAATGCCTTTTTAATACAAAATTAGTATTAAAAATGATTAATGTCTCCTTGAGCTTAATCTCTCTTTAGGGATAAAGGTTAGACATTAACATATCCTCCAAATTTTAGAGTTTGAATGAGGAATATAAGACTTCGTTTTTTTATTTTTTTTCAAATGTTTTATACTTTTCCTATTTAAAAAAAGGACAAAAACATGACTATTTTAACATTTTATTTTATTTTTTGGCCTGGGACTAGGATTCAAACTCAGTGCCTGACACTTTTACTCACTGGCTAGCACTCTACCAACAAAGCCATGCCTCCAACCCCTTAATATTTTAGAAGCAAACTAGTAAGAAAATATTCTAATTATAAAACTTTACACATTAAAAGAAATACTTTTGTATTTGTGAAACTGCATTCAAGCAATTTTAAAAGTCTATACTGAAAAACTGATGAAATTCACTCATTCTTAGACACATAAGGAAACACACATATGAGAAACAAAGGTATGTATCTTTGGAATCTGAATGTTTAAAAAAAAAAAGTAAAAGTCTGGGAAGGCAAGGGGAAATTGACAAAACTGGATACTCCAATCAAATGAGAAAAGATGAGATCACTTAAGAATGTAATGGTATAGTATCATAGTGGTGAAATTATGTAGTGAAAGAAAACCAACTTTACAACTTGGGAGGGGAAGGGGGGAGTCAGGGAGGTGGGAAGGGAAGGATGGTAGGGGAAAAACAAAGGAGGTAACAATGCTCAATAGGAAATGTACTCATTACCTTACTCATGCAACTATAACCCCTCTGTATTTTTACAATAAAAAATATACAAAACAAAAGAGAAAGAAAAGAAAAGAAAAGAAAAAAACAGCCATGAGGGAAAAGTAGGAAAATTAGGGTCAAGGTCAGCCTTATGACAAATGTTATCCAAAAGATAACTAACCTAGCAGCAAAAAGGTCTGAGGCTATAGCTCCAATGGTAGAGCAATACTTTCTTAGCAAGTATGAGACCATGAGTTCAAACTACTGTGCTCTAGAAATTATATATCCATAACTTTCCAAGCTTAACCTTGGTAAGTGCTGAAAAAGATCCTCGTGTAATATCAACGTATAATTAAAAATCATACATGGAATAGAAAAAAATAGTGAAAACACAGCAACTGCTTCAAAAAAATATATCCAGAGATCATGTTTGCACACAGACAATCCAATAACGTTTACCTCTTGTGTAGCTGGAATGACAGAATTGCCTGGCTTTTTTGTTCATATGAGCTCTCAGGAGGTTTTTGAATGGGCTGGCTGTGAATCACATCCTCCCCATCTCTATTTCCCAAGTAAATGAGATTAGAGTGAAGCAGAGACACCACACCCAGTTTAGTCTGCCCAATCTTTCTCCTTTCCATCCCTTCCCCATTCCCTTCCCTGTTCTTCCTTCTTTACTTCCCTCCCTTCCCCTCTCTTCCATCCTCCCTCCTTGCATTGAGGTTTGAACTCAGTTTGGCTTGCTCTCTTTGATATGCTGTCCCATGCTAATCCCACCTGTGTTTTTGCTGTTTATTTGGGAAATTGAGTATTACACATTTTTCTGCCCCTGCTGGCTTCAAACCATGATCCTTGTGATCTCATCTTTCTGGAATAGCTAGGATTATAGGCCATATTTTACTAGTACCCAGCTAAATCTGCATAAACTTACTTTGCTATAAAACATAAGCAACCATCAACCTAGCTATTACTCAAAAATTAAAGTAAAAATATCAGAATGTACCAAAGACTGAGTAACTTTATTGAACAGGACAGAGTAGATACACATGAAAATATAATCATATGTTTAGGGCAGGATCCACTGTCAAAGTGGATCTAGCTTTGAACTTTATCTACAATTGACTTTATCCTAATGATGTCTTAAAAGTACTGTTTTACTTACATAAGAGTTATACAATCTTATTTATAATACCAGATTCGAAATAAGACTGAAGAGAGACTTTCAAATTAGGTAAAATATATCTAGGGAAATAAAACATGGGTAAAAAAAATAAAAATGAAAAACAGCAAAATTAAAAAGATTGGAGCTACTTGTTTCTAAGTATTATACATCCACCCCTTCACATTCAGGAATAAAAATTAGACCCTTAACCTTGCTAGGCAAATGTTTTCCATGTAAAGTGTGCTTTTGCCCACTCCCCTCCCTCCATTATACTCTTTTAAAATTAGGTTATTTTTCCGCTAAGGTCTTGTGGTTTTTGTCTAAGATCAGCCTAAGTTTGTAATTCTCCTACAGCTAGTATTACAGGAATGAATAACTCACTATGTCTAACATGTTTACAGAGCCTTGCTAAATTTTTGTCCAGGATGTCCTCAAAACAAGATCCTCCCAATCTCTTTCTCTCAAAAGCTAAAATGACAGGCTTGAGCTTATTAATGCATCTGGCTCTACGTGTTCCAGATTTTAAGGCACAAATTTTCACATCTCCTTTCAGTCTACAGTATTTAAAGGGCAATTAAAATATTTTTAAGTTGAAGGGAAAATTTACTGTTTAAAAAAATGCTCTAATTAGATCAAATTTCTATGAAAATATGAACAAAAATAAAGACAAAAAAGCAAAAAAAAAGCTATAGGGTTTATCAAACCAAAAATAGTTTGATAAAGATATATTCCAAAAGATGAAATATGAAATAAAAATACATCACAAGTTGAAAAGTAAATTACTTACACTGTATATCTAGTATGAAAGAATATCGGATGTCCTTTTCCAAGGCTGGATGTTTTACAACACAAGTAATTCGTCTTCCTCTAGCAAATCTGGTTGGGAACAGCTTGTACTGGCTGACAATTGTTGCTGTTTCATTTGGAAAAGTAGTTGTAGTAGATTCCATTTCACCAAGATCACCTTCCCATTCAATGTGTGCAACTGGTTTTCCTGTGGCTGCTATACAAATGGCTGCTACTGTTTCATTTCCTCCATCAATTAAAGAATCTGGCCCTTTTATCAGGCTCACAGTAGGTTCAACTGTTTAAATAAAAAAGTTATATCTCAATTAAGAAAATACGTAAAGTCACACAGTCATATCTAGACATATTTCATAAGCTTAGGGACACTTGCATATAATATCTACCCACACACTTTTTAGGTAATGCCAACTTCATTCAATGCCAACATCAACTTCATTCTTAGAACAACAGAAACATTTAGTTAGGACAAAAACAAGGTCAAAATTTTATATTCTCACTACGATGGTTTTCTTTGACACAGATATACATTACATTATGGGGTCAGTTGAGCTCTCTCAGATTTAGTATATATAAAAATGTCACCTTGACCACAATGCCCTTTGAGGTTAAGGATGTTATTCTTGAAGAAAAAAAAAAAAAAAAAACTAGTTCAAATATATAGCATTTCATTTTGTAGCAAAAAAATGTAAAGCAAACACTTTTAATTATACTAACAATTGTGCAGTCTTCTTGATTTAAAATAGTTGCCAATTGTTTCCTATTTTAAGATTAATATTCTCCCTATAGGCTTTATCTTTGTAAGATATTGGTGTAAAATAACAAAAAAATGTGAAACACATGTAAAAAATTTATTTTAAATTTTTAATGTTAGGTTCTTTTTTTACTATTATCATTAACTAGTTGTACAAACACGTTTCGCTTTGATATGTCAATTTATTAGTACAATGTGTCTTGATCAACGATACCCCTTCCTTCATTCTCCTCCACATCTATCCCAAATCCACTTATCCCAAGTCACCAGGTTCCATTTTCACATATGTATATTGAATATGACTGTATTTTCCACCATTTCTGTCTCCTTTTGTCTATACCGCCTCTTCCCCTTGACCTCCATCCCTGCTGACCTTACATATTTCAACTTACTGCTAAGTTAAGACTGTAAATTCATTGTTCAAAGGAGTTACACTATTGGAATCCCCCCTCCTCTACCTATACTGTATCCTATTTACTTGTGTTTATGTATATATAGCTATATGTGTATGTGTGTATATATATATATATATATTCATGTTTTACAATTTAGATCTAACATCTATATATGAGGGAAAATATATGCTCTGTCTTCCTGAGCTAGAAATCACAACGTAATTTTTCCTAGTCCATCCATTTCTCTGCAAATGACATATTATTTTTCCTGATGAATAAAATTCCATTGTATATATATATATATATATATATATATATATATATATACTACATTTTCTTTATTTACTCATCTACTGTAAGCCATCTAAGCTGTTTCCATCATATGGTTATGGTGAATATATGTGTGCAAATTATCCTGACTTATCTTTTGAATAAATGGACAAGAATTACTGGATCATAAAGCAGTTACATGTTTAGTTTTTAAGGAATTTCTAAACTTCATTCCATAGCAGTTGCATTAAGTCCCCATATCCTGTCCAGTATTTGCGATATAATGAATAATTTTATAACATTTATGTAACTACACCACACATCATAACAAATAACAGCAACATCTTGAAATTCTTCAAGCCTTTTCTCGATCATCTTTTCTTTCAATCGACCATTATATTCAAAATAATCTGTGTGTGTGTGTGTGTGTGTGTGTGTGCGCGTGCGTGCGTGCGTGCGTGCGTGTGTGTGTGTGTGTAGATACTGAAGCTTAGACACAAGCCTGGGAACTGTCCTTGAACTTTTTTGCTCAAGGATAGTGTTCAAGTGGTGGTGAACTAGAGGTAAGAGTCTGACATACTTTTTTGCCCAGATAGGCTTACAACTATAATTCTTAGATCTCAGCCTCTTCAATAATAGCTAGGATTACAGGAATGAGCTACTAGTGGAGTGCCAAATTTGGTGAATTTTTTGTTTTGGGCTTTTTTTTTTGGTGTCAGTAATGAGGCTTTTAACTCCTGACCTGGGCATAGTCCTTGTGTCTTTTCCACGTGCAGCTTTTTGTGCTTACTTGGAGATAAGAATCTCACAGCCAGGCACCTGTGGCTCACACCTTAATCCTAGCTACTCAGGAGGCGAGATCTGAGGATCGCAGTTCAAAGCCAGCCCGGGAAGGAAAGTCCATGAAACTCTTCTCTTCAATAAACCACCAGAAAACCAGAAGTGGCACTGTAGCTCAAGTGGTAGAGCACTAGCCTTGAGCTGAAGAGCTGAGGGACAGCGCTCAGGCCCAGAGTTCAAGCCCCACAACTGACCAAAAAAAAAAAAAAAAAAAAAAGAAAGAATCTCACAACTTTTTCTACCTGGGCTGGCTTTGAACCATGATCCTCAGAACTCAGCCTCCTGACTAGCTATGATTAAAGGTGTGAACCACCAGAGCTCAGCTGAAAATTTTATTGATTAAAAACTTATCAATCATAGCTTTACAACCAGTAAGTACAAATTTAAACAAATAATCTCATTGCATCTATTCCTGAACTTTATAATTGGATTATACCTATTTGTATGGTTTTTCTCTGACTCAACTTTCTGTTCTGGGCATATTGGAGCAATTATCTTCTTTGGAATTCAACTTAACTTCGTGTTTTTAAATTACTTAGGTAAATATGGAATTGCAAAGATTATCAGTTTTAACTGCTGTACCATGTATTTACTGGTGAACACTAGGATTGTTTCTTCTGTGTTCTAATCTGTTTTACAAGATACATTATCACTCCTATATGTTGGATTTTTTTTCTTTTTTTGTACAAGTCTCTTCTTAAGTTTGTCCTTGGTATTAGAACTGTTACTACTGGGAAGCACCAGTAGCTGATGACTATATCCCTAGCTACTCAGGAGGTTGAGATGAAGATCTCAATTAAGTCAGCCCAGGCAAGACTGAAAACCAAAAATGGCACTGTGGCTCCAACTGGTAGAGCACTAGTCTTGACTGAAAAAACTCAGGGAAAATGCCCAGGACCTGAGTTCAAGATCCATGACTGAAAAAACCAAAAAAGAATTATTACATTTACTTCTATTTTTTCAAACAATGCTAAAACCTTTTCTAAAGTTATCAATTTACTCACAATCATCAGAGGATTTCTTGGATCATATGCTCACTACAGTCAATTCTTAGTATCTGTCAGTCCCAGGGGTAATGTAAGAACATATGGATAACATTTTATTGTTACCTCAGATTGTGAAGGAGAGTGAGAATTTATGTGTCTTAGGGTCATGTGGAATTTCTTTAGCGGAGGAATACAAATTAAAAGTAGGTGCCTGGTTTTTTTCTTATAAATATATAGTTTTATTAAATTTTGTAAAGTCTTTTTAAAAAATTATATATATTATAAGTTTAGGTCTTATGTTTTTAGTTTTTCTGATACAAGTGGAGAAGGGAGTTGGGATTATTAGAGATCAAACCCAGGGCCTCTTGTGTGCTAGGCAAGTGGATGTTTTGATAAACATGTTAATTCAAATGTACTAACAGTTATCAGCTTTGTTTTGTTTTGTAGTTGCTTTATGTCCTAAGAAATTCTGTACTTCTCTACTTTGAGGCCAACCACTAGTGATTTGTTTCTCATTCTCCATAGAAAATTTATAGATTTTTCCGAGTGGTATAAGTACATTTTAAAATCTTTGGTAATTCCAACCACTTATATTGTTTCAGGTCTATTTTTTGTTTCCTTATTCATATAGGTTCCTGCTTATGGGACTTAGTTGTACACCTAAATATTCAAGGAGACTATTTAACTCTATTTGAATCTTTGTTTTCTTGTACCACTTGAAAACACTAAATAGGCCAAGATTTTCCACTCAGACTATAATGCAAGTGATATAAACCAAATCTAGAAGTCTGTATTATTTCTCACTTCTAATTAACTTTCTCACTTCTAGTTTACCACTACTTACTATTATAACTATTCTGAAAATAGAAGTCCTTGGGTATAATATGAATATGAGTAACTAAATACCCTATAATAAGCAATCTGTCAAAAACACCAAGCTAATCTTCTTAAATCGTAACTCACTACACCTACTCTATGCCAAGTCTACCAAAAGTAAGGCATACCTCTACGTAATTGAGAAGCTAATTACAGAAATGTTTCCAAAACTATATTGTGGATGCAAGTCAACAGATCATCTTTCTTAAACTTATTACTGTTCAGTTTTGGAAAAAAAACAAAATTCAGAATTTCTAATAAAATCTCAGAATAATACTAATTCTGCTGGACGATTTTAAACACCAAGGGTCTGAGAGTAAAACAGGGAAGAAATGGTACAATCATTAGCTATTAAATTCATATGATATCAATCTCAAATTTCCTATGTCAATATTCAATTTACTAAACTTAAAAATCCTTGTACTTTATATAAATTCTTCAAAATCAAGTTTTCCACTGTGCAAAGTTCTGAACAGATGATACCCATCATCCTAAAAGCCTTTCACAAGGACACCTGGCAATTACTGAGGATGGGTTAGATGCCATGGATGTCACCAAAGTCTACAATAGAAAAGACAGCTTGTCACAACACATAATTTTGGCCCTAAAAATTCAACAAGTGAGGATTGCTTGAATGGACATTCTGTTCTGCCTCCTGATCTGGATTCACTAACCCTCAATTCTAGAACATTTCCTGAAATCATCTTGCATTTGTGCTTACTCCAACCCTACCATCATTCATGAACTAACACAAGGATTTCTACCATGTTCACTAGGACTCATTCCTATATTCTACTCAGAACTCTCACAGGCTTTCTGCAAAGCTATTAGTGAACTCTATTTCCCAGTAGCTGAGCAGTGGTCCTTTTCAAAGAGCATCTAGGCAGTATATATTCATGTTAGCCACAGTTGGTATTACATCTGAATTCTTACTGTATCACTCTGGAAAAGTATTCATCAACGTTTTCAAATTGATTTACATTCCAGATAGTTATCTTAAAGTTTATAAGCTTATCCAATATTTCACCTTAAACTACAGCATTTATGAAAAAGCAGAAAATAATTATGAAATGTTTACACAAATCTACAATAGAGTTATAAATTTGATGTGCCAAATTGAAACATGTTATTGCCACCCCCCAAAAAAAAGAAATGAAAAGGAAAAACTTAAGTCTAACATGAAATAATTTAAGGTTAAAAATTTGAGGGAAATTAGTAAAAATATGTCACAGCATTACTATTATAATTAAAACTCTTGTGAAAAAAGTTAAGAGCAAAATTATGTAACATATAATCAGGCAGACATAGATAAGATTGTTTATTATTGGACTTATAAAACTATAAGATAGAATTCATATTTGAATTATTTAAACCTAAAGAAAACTTTCATTTTAAATGCTTGAAAATACTTCTCCTATGATCCTCATTACCATCACCAAATATATAATTCAAACACACTTACCTAACACAGTTACAGTTGTAGAAGACTGGGCATTTCCAAGTGGGAATGTAACAGCTTTACATATATATTTTCCAGAATCAGAGAATCCTATGTTATGTAGAGTAATTGTTGCATCATTTAGTGAATAGTTTTTAAACAGGACTCTTCCCTGATACTCTCCTTGAACAGAGAATCCATATTGAGGATGATGGACTGCAACAGTCTGTGTATTTTTGCCACGTATCTTCTCCCATGAAATTTGTGTTATGGTTTCATTTACTTCAATTAAACACTTCAATGAAACATTCTTTCCCCATACTGCTGTGACATGTGGCTCCACAATAATCGGTCCAGCTAAGGCACCTATGGGGAAAATACATAGTATAATTGTTAAAATGGAAACGTTATGCTACATATGGTCTCTCTTCTTCCCTTTCCTCCCCATAGGTGTAACACACACACACACACACACACACACACACACACACACACACACACACACACACACACACACACACTTCTTCCCTCCTTTCTCATAACGGAACAAAAAAGAGGATGAATGTCATCTAGGTTGGATGTGAGGTACAAAAAGTTTATGCCAATGTATGTTGCAATGGAAAAACAAAGGAAAAAGCATTTTAGTGAAGATCGAAAGCTGAAGATACAGGTAAGCCATGCCTAGATTCTTGACCCACAGAAATTGAAACAGTACGTAGATGTTAAAAGTTACCAAGTTTTAGGCCCGGTGCCAGTGGCTCACACCTGTAATCCTAGTTACTCAGGAGGTTGAGATCTGAGGATCACAGTTTAAAGGCAGACTGGGCAAGAAAGGCTGGGCAGGAAAGGCATGAGACTCTTAATCTCCAATAAACCACTAGAAAACCGGAAGGGACACTGTGGTTCAAGTGGTAGAGTGCTGGCCTTGAGCTGAAGAGCACAGGACAGCACCCAAGCCCAGAGTTCAAGCCCCCCAACCAACAGCAGCAACAAAAAAGTTATCAAGTTTTAGGATAACTTTATATAGAAAAAGGTAACATCCATGTAATATCTTTCAAACAAATTTTAATACCATAGAAATTTCTTTGGGAATATCCCTATATTAAATCCCTAAAAAAGAATTTTAAAAACAAATGAAGGACAAAGATTAACAAAATCACAGACAGAGGTGGGAGAAAAGATGGGATAAGAGAACAGTTAGGGACTACATATTTACCTCACCCCCACCCACCACACCCAAACCTTGGGTTTAAACCTTAATTTCAGTGCAAGTTTCCTTTTCTCCACACTTGACACTGGTAGCTCATGCCTGTAATTCTAGCTACTCAGGAGGCTGAGGTCTGAGGATCACAGTTTGAGGCCAGACAGGGTAGGAAGGTCCTTGAGACTCTCATATCCAATAACTACCAAAAGAGCCAAAATGGAGTTGTGGTGCAAGCAGTCGAGCACTATCCTGAAGCAAAAAAGCTTAGGAACAACACCCAAGCCCCAGGCCAGGCATGGACAGGTACAGACAGGCACAAACAGGCATGGACAAATGGACAGACACACACATGAACACGCATGCGTGCACACACGCACACACATACACACACATAGAGCTTCACTGCAGAGCTTAAGGGTCCTTGACGCACATAAATGTTTATTGCAAAATAACTAACGTATTTAAAGTAAGCTTATCATTTGTAAGTCTGCAATACAGAGGCTAACAAACAGTAAAGAAATGGATCTTCCATATATCCACTAAGAACTCTAACCCAGTCATGAGAGATTTCTGCTCACTATGGGAGTCAAGGAAAACCATGCTAAAATGTTTCTTTTCTGAGTCTACCTAAATTACAATTAAGTTTTATGTCATTTTATTTAATTAATTGAGCTGAACTTATTGTTCTTTAAGAGACAGACATAGAAATACTAGCATTCCGTGGCTGGGAAGGTGGCTCAGTGGTAGAGCGCATGCCTTGCATGCCAGAGGCCCTGGGTTCGATTCTTCAGCACCACATAAGCAAAAAGAAAAAAGCCAGAAGTGGCGCTGTGGCTCAAGTGGGAGAGCGCTAGCCTTGAGCTGAAGAGCTGAGGGACAGCACCCAGGCCCAGAGTTCAGGCCCCATGACCGGACCCAAAAAAAAAACAAACAAAAATAAAGTAAAAAATAAAAAAAATAAAAATAAAAAACAAACAAAAAAAAGAAATACTAGCATTCCATGAAAATACTCAACCACAAAAAAACAACTTTCTGGAGTCTTCAACTGTATTTTAGTAGTCATTCAGTAAGTATTACAGAAAGCCTAGATGACACAAAGCATTTCAAAGTATGTTTAAGAAAATAATTGTGAAAGAAAAGAAAATGTAATATCTAATATATTATTACTACTATGGATTTTTTTTTGGAGGGGGGGAGAGTTTGAACTCAGGGCCTGGATGCTGTCCCTGAGCTTTTGTCCTCAAGGTTAGCATTCTACCACTTTGAACCATGGCTCCATTTCTGGCTTTTTGGTAGTTAACTGGAGATAAAGTCTATTGGACTTTCCTCCTGCCCAGGTTGGCATCAAACCTTGGTCCTCATATCTCAGCCTCCTAAGCAGCTATTACTAGATTGTAGGCATGAGCCCCAAGCACCCAGCTACTATGGATTATTTTGAAAAAAGATTCAAAGATCTTTAAAGGTATGGATCCTTAGAATTCTCAGAATTTAGGACAGTTTTTTAAGAGAACACAATACAATAACAGCATCCAGCTATCCACAAATTATTTCTGTATAGATCAACACACATTTTGGTAAGTCAAATTCATTATCCATGTTATAAATTGATAAATAGTTGTCATGTTAAGCTCAAAACTTAAGTTTTAAAAGTGCTTCCCAACAAAACGTTCAAATAGAAATAAGCATAAAGAACAACCAAGTAAGTTCAATAACTTGTGAAATTATTTATAAACTAGAAGCTTAAGTAGTATTAGCATATTGAAGACTCTCTAATTTTCTCTCAGGTCACTAGAAAATATAACTCTTGGATTATAGAAGATTTTGTTCCATATTCTAAGCCAATCAGTCCAATGCCAAAAAGAAGCAGTTATTCCTTCATTCATTCACTAGTATCTACAAAGTGCATACTTTATACTAGACTTGTTGAAGGTGCTGGTAATGGTATTGAACAAATGTCTCTGTCTTTATGGGCTTTGCATTCTAACAGTGTTAATAAAATAAAATATTATTTATCAAATAGTAAGAATTCTGGAGGAAAATAAAACCAAGTTAAGAGGTATTGCTTTAGGGTAGATGCAGCAAGTGTTTTGAAATAAGGATGAGTTCCAAAAGGTCTTTTTAAGAGGACACTGGAAAACTACAAAAGTATGGGAGAATAAAGACTTCTGCGTGTCCCTGGAGTGAAAAGAGAGGAGGAACAACCGGAGATGATGCTACAAGGGCAGCAGGCACCACAAACTGAGGACATTTTAAACACTGGCTTCCATTCTGCAGAAGGTGGGAAACCACAGGAGAATTTTTAGCAGAAACATGACATATTCTAAATGATCACTCTGGGTGAGATGGGGAGAATGAAGAAAGAGGTGACATTGAACAAGATGTATTATACTCACTCACTGACATGTTGAATTGAAACTCTTCTGTACAGCTACACAGGATAATAAAAAAATTATAAACTTTTAATAACAACCAAAAAAGATCACTCTCATGTTGGGAAACAACAGCAAGAAAGCAAAGACTAAACCACAGGTATCAGCTAGGATTTATAATGTTAATATGGAACAAAGAAGGTGAAGTTTGAACCAAATTTATCACAATGAAAATCTTAAAACAGAAGTTAGATTATGGACACATTATGCTATATAGTTTGAGGGTACAGCAAACAAGATTTGGTGAAGGAATGTAAGAAACAGAGCAGCCATGGATTTTAGTCTGAAAATGTATAACGGAGTTCCATTTACCAAAGTGAGAACTAGTATGTAGGACTTTTAAGAGTTAGAGGTAGAAAAAAGTTCAAATCTTACACTTAACATGGCTACTTCACAGCCAAATGGGTGTGTGCTGAATAAGCAGTAGGATTATATAAAAGTATGCTGCTTCTGGAGAAAGTGATGGGCTAGTATATAAATTTAGAGTAATCAACACACAGTTATGAGACTGCATGAAATCAAGAGTATTGATAGCAAAGATTTATATGAAGATCAAGCATCTGTGATGCATTAAAACATCTTAAAGGTTCGAAGTAGATAAAATTCAACAGAGATAACAAAAAAGTGACCAGGGAGAAGGAAAGAACCAGGAAAATATCCTGTACACTATCTAAGGTGTACATCATAAGTACAATGCTATCAAAATTCCATCTGATTTTTAACAGAAATTGACAATGTTTCTAAAACTTACATACAAACACCAATCTGTGTGATACTGGTCATGTAGTTATTTTTTTAGATATGTTACTAAAAGCATCATAAATTTTATAGTTTTTTTTTCAAAATCTGCAAGTTAAAGAAGATAAACTACTAAGAGAGTATGTGCAAAACATGTATCTGCATAAAAGACCACAAAAACTTCATAATAAAAAAAAGGAATCTTTTTTTTTAAGTGAGCAAAAGCTGAACAGAAACAAAGAAAATAAGTACACAAAAATATGCTCAACATCTTTAGGGTAACAAATTCAAACCAAAATAAGCCACTACTAAATACTCAACTAAAATTAAAAGACTCACCACACTAAATGTTATAAAAATCACAGGTGAGTTGGAAGCTTTTTGAAATGTTGGTTGGACTATGTAACTGCACTGAAAGTCAGTAAGCAGTTTTGTAAAGTTAAACAAGTATTAGGATTTGGCCACATTACCCTGTTAGCCCATTTGAAAGGAAAGCATTGTCCATATACCAACACAAATAATACAAGTGTTCACAGTAGCTTTTTCCTAATAACCTCAAACTAGAAATATCTCATTAACAAATAAACTATAATATCTGCATACAATGATTTATCACTCAGTAACAAAAAGGAATAGAAAGCTGACTGTCAACAACTTAATTTGACAAGAACCATCTACATACTACCCCTAAGAGATCAAGAATGAGGCAAAGAGGTTTGCTCTCACCTCTCCTTTTCAACATCTTACTCAAAGTCCTCACTAATATATTAAGAAGATCACCATTTGGTGTATATTAATTAGAAGAGGACAAATAATATCTTCTGAGCTAATATATTCACTTATACCAATATTACAGGATACAAACTTAATAGTACTTTCATCACTTTTCAAAATAATATTTATGAATGTATAGAATTTGAAAATAGTATCACTTACATTGATACCTTAAAAATGAAATACCCAGGTATAAAGCCAGTAAAATACACACATACAAG